CACACCCGGCTAATTTTTCTATTTTTAGTAGAGACAGGTTTCACCATGTTAGCCAGGCTGATCTCGAACTCCTGACCTCAGGTGATCCGCCCTTTTAGGCCTCCTCAAGTACCGGGATGACAGCAATTGAACCACTGTGCCTGGCCTAATGTGACACATATTTCGCTAACCATTGTGAATGCAGTGTTGAGCAAAAATTGAAAGACCTCATGACACACTGTACAATGGAAGACAGATATTAAATAATCACAGAAATAAGTTCAATATTCAAGTGTGATGAGTGCTGTAAAAGAGAGCTATAAGAACTAATAATGAGAAAATTTGATCCAGTTAGTAAGTAGTTCAGGGAGGCTTTCCATACTAACTGCATGACTTTGGCCAAGTTATTTACATGCTTTGTGCCTCATTTCCTCATTTTAAGTAAGGATAGCAACTATACTTTAAGGTTGTCATATATTTAATATGAATATTAAATGAGTGCATTTGTGAAGTGCTTAAGATACTGCTTAGCATAGAGTAAGTTCTGGATAAGGGTTTGTTAAATAAAAAGGTACTTGATGTAAAACCTTAATAATGAGTAAGAGAGTTGATTCTTTTTTATTTTTATAATTTCAACTTTTATTTTAGATATACAGATTTATTACATGGGTATATTGCATGATGCTGATGTTTGGGGTACAGTTGCTCCCTTCCCTCCCTTCTCTCCTTCCCTCCTCTGGTAGTCTTCAGTGACTGTTGTTGCCATCTATATGTCTGTGAGTACCTGATGTGTAGCTCTAACTTAAAATGAGAATATGCAGTATTTGGTTTTCTGTTACTGTGTTAATTCACTTAAGATAATGGCCACCAGCAGCATCCTTGTTGCTGCAAAGGACATGATTTTATTCTTTTTATGGCTGTGTAATGTTCCATGATATATATGTTCTATATTTTCTTTCTTTTTTTTTTTTTCCTTTGGTTAAGACAGTCTCGTTCTGTTGCCCAGGCTAGAGTGCAGTGCCACGATCTTGGCTCACTGCAAACTCCACCTTCTGGGTTCAAGCGATTCTCCTGCCTCAGCCACCTGAGTAGCTGGGATTACAAGCACCCAGCATCATGCCCAACTAATTTTTGTAGTTTTTTTGGTAGAGACAGGGTTTCACCATGTTGGCCAGGTAGGTCTTGAACTCCTGACCTCAGGTGATCCACCCGTCTCGGCCTCCCAGAGTGCTGGGATTATAGGCATAAGACATTGAGCCTAGCCTGTACCATATTTTCTTTAGTGCACTGTTGATGAGCACCTAGGTTGATTCTGTGTTTTTGCTATTGTGAGTAGTGCTGCGATGAACATATAAGCGCATATGTCTTTTATGTAGAACAATTTGTTTTCTTTTGGGTATTTACCCAGTAATGGCATTGCTGGGTCAAATGGTATTTCTGTTTTAAGTTCTTTGAGAAATCTCCAAACTGCTTTCCACAGGGGCTGAACTCATTTACATTCTCACTGACAGTGTATAAGCATTGTATAACCTTGCCAGCATCTATTGTTTTTTGGCTTTTTAATAATAGCCATTCTGACTGGTGTAAGGTGGTGTCCCATTGTGGTTTTGATTTGCGTTTCTCTAATGATTACTGATGTTGAGCATTTTTTTATATGCTTGTTGGCCAGTTGTATATCTTACTTTGAGAAGTATCTGTTCATGTCCTTGCCTACTTTTTAATGATGTTTGTTTTCTGCTTGTTGAACTGTTTGTTTCTTGTAGATTGTAGGTATTAGACCTTTGTTAGATGCTAGATTAATAGAGAGAAGATCCAAATAACCACACAATCAGAAACAACAAAGGTGACATTACAACCAATCCCACAGAAATACAAAAGATCCCCAGAGACTATAATGAAGATACCTCTGTAAACACAAACTAGAAAATCTAGAGGAAATGGATAAATTCTAGAAACAAACAACCTCCTAAGATTAAATCAAGACGAAATTGAAACCCTGAACAGACCAATATTGAGTTCCAAAATAGAATCAGTAATAAAAAACTTATCAACCAGAAAAGCCCTGGACCAGATGTATTCATAGCTGGATTCTGTCAGATGTACAAAGAAAACTGGTACCAATTCTACTGAAACAATTCCAAAAAATCGAACAGGAGGGACTCCTCCTTAACTCGTTCTTAGAGGCCAGCTTCACCCTGATACCAAAACTTGGCAGAGATACAATGAAAAAGGAAAACTAGGCCGGGCACGGTGGCTCAAGCCTGTAATCCCAGCACTTTGGGAGGCCGAGGCGGGTGGATCACGAGGTCAAGAGATCGAGACCATCCTGGTCAACATGGTGAAACCCCGTCTCTA